TGGTCCCAGAGCTGATTGGACAGCCAGTCCAGTCCCTCATAGAGCCCGTCCCCACTGGTGGCACAGGTAGCCTGAATGTACCAGTTCCTGTGGCGCAGAGAGTGGAGGCCCAGCTTGTCCGTGATCTCAGCTGCGTTCATAGCATTGGGGAAGTCCTGCTTGTTTGCGAACACGAGCAGGACAGCATCCCTGAGCTCATCCTCCGCCAGCATCGCACAAGCTCCTCTCGAGCCTCATTCACACGCTCTCGGTCATTGCTGTCAATCACAAAGATGAGACCTTGTGTATTCTGGAAGTAGTGGCGCCACAGAGGCCGGATCTTGTCCTGGCCACCCACATCCCACACCGTGAAGCTGATGTTCTTATACTCCACAGTCTCCACGTTGAAACCTGCAGGAGCATGGCCCAGTGTGAGCTGACCCCCAGCCATTCCAGCCACCTCCCCAACCCCCATGGCCTGGCTTCGAAACCTATGGTGGGGATGGTGGTCACGATCTCACCCAGCTTCAGTTTGTACAGAATGGTGGTCTTCCCCGCAGCATCCAGGCCCACCATGAGAATGTGCATTTCTTTTTTGCCAAAAAGGCCCTTGAAGAGGTTCGCAAAGATGTTCCCCATGCTGTAGACCGGAGGGAGAGACACTGGCCAGAGAAACCCTCTGCAGCCGCTGTGCTGCTGCTACTCCGAGCCAGGCGTTGGTTTCGCTCCCACAAGATGGCGGCGCTGACAGCCAGTAGTTTACTTTTAGTCTATTGTGGAATATCCCTGGTGGCTCCTGCTTAGGTTATTCCTGAGAATTTCACTGTTTGGGCAGGCCCTCAGATCTTTGCTAGATTTATTAACTAGCCCTGGTTGGTCATGTGCAGTACCATTGCATTCATATCAGTCTTAGCCTGCTCTTTAGTTTCCAATATTGTCATAATGTCGTCAATGTAGTGTATTATTATACTGGAGACCTGCATCAAGTCCAAATTCTTTCTGACCAAATTATAACAATAAACCAGGGAGTTCAAGTGACATAGCAAAAATAAATTGTGATTCTTCCCATGTGAAGGCAAATTGCGGTTGGCTCATCTCTGGAGAAGTATTTGCAAGGTCAGTCATTGAGTACCTGCCTCCTTTAGCTTGATGTACTAGGTGTACCGGTTAATAATGGCAGATTTTGTAATCAAGTAAAACAAGATAATTTCAAGAGAAACATCGAAAGTGCTTTATTCAAAGAAATGTCCATTGCTAGCTACACATTTCTTCCATCTTTCAGGTAATTTGTGGATAGCGTCTCAATAGAACTTTTCTTGTTTTGAGGCAAACCATTCAGAGACCCAATTTTCCACTTCTTCGTACGTTTTGAAGTGCTGCTCAGAAAGTGTGTGTGCCATCGATCGGAACCAGTGGTGATCTGAAGGAGCAAGGTCTGGTGAATACGGCGGGTGGGTTAATACTTCCCAGGCAAGACCTTTTAACATGTCTTTAACTGGTTTTGAAGTGTGTGATGGTGTGTTATCGTGAAGCAAAATTACTTTGCCGTGTCTCCTGGAACATTCTGGTCGTTTCACGATCAAAACGTGGTTCAGATTGATTATTTGTTGTCGGTAGCGATTAGTATTAACAGTTTCACCTGTTTTAAAAGCTCATAATACACCACGCCTTCCTGATCCCATCAAACGCAGAGCATTGTCTTCTTTCCAAAGCAATTTGGTCTTGCAGTCGATGTTGATGGTTGACCTGGATCAACCCATGATTTTGTGCATTTGGGATTCTCAAAATAAATCCACTTTTCATTGCCAGTCACAATTTGATGCAAAAAAGACTTTCTTTCGTGCCGTTGAAGCAACATTTACTGATGACTTTTCGGTTTTCCATTTGTTTTTCGTTCAGTTGATGTGGCACCCATTTTCCTTCCTTTAAAATCTTTCCCACTGCCCTGGCCGGTTTGGCTCAGTGGATAGAGCGTCAGTCTGTGGACTGAAGGGTCCCAGGTTCGATTCTGGTCAATGGCATGTACCTTGGTTTTGGGCACATCCCCAGTAGGGGGTGTGCAGGAGGCAGCTGATCGATGTTTCTCTCTCACCGATGTTTCTAACTCTCTATCCCTCTCCCTTCCTCTCTGTAAAAAAAATCAATAAGATATATTTTAAAAAATAAAATAAAATCTTTCCCATTGCTTGTAAACGATCGGAAATTGTTTGCTGAGCAACGTTTCATCTTTGTGCAAGTTGTTTTTGGGTTTTATACGCATCTTCATCTAGTAATGCTTGTAATTGTTGGTCTTCAAACTTTTTCGGTTGACCTGGATGTACTTTGTCTTTCACATCGAAAGCATCATTTATAAAGCAAATTTGACATATGAAGTTTTGAAGCTTGCTGTCAATACAACAAAATAGCATACATATCAAATTGCATATATATAACATATGTGTAACTCCATCTATTGAAAAAAATCCGCATTATTAACTGTGATACCTAGTAATTTCTGTATGGTTGAGACCATGTGCAGAACTGCTGAGGCTATGGGCAGTGTAACTTTATTTAAGCCTCAATAGCCTACTGTTAGTCTCCATGAACCATCTACCTTTTTCACAGGCCACACAGTGCTATTTACAGCCAATTCACTGATACCAGCACTCCAGCTTCTGGCATTTCATTAAAGTGATACTCTTTTTTTGCCCACCAGGTATTCTGTATTGTTTTACGTTAACCACCTGTGTGGTCTGGGGCAGTTTCAGTGGTTCCCATTTAAAATGCCAATGAATACTGGCCCCCAAGGACGGATTTATATGCTTTCTATTTTACAGTATTATATTAGGCAGGGGAAGCAATCCCCAGTCAAACATAATATCCATCCCAGTAATACAAACATGTCAAACGCGAGGCCCAGCTAATATAATGGCATGTAAGAAACGTTTTAATAAAAATTTCAGAACTTAATTCTTACAATATCCTGTTATACATAATCCTATATAATAAAAGAGAAAAATGGTAATTGGCGTACGACGATACCCTTTTCATTGGCTAATCAGGGCTATATGCAAATTAACTGCCAACTCAGATGGCAGTTAACTGACAACAAAATGGCGGTTAATTTGCATATATAGGCACAATGCAGGGAAGCGAAAGGGAAAGCAGGAAGAAGCCCCCTGCCACTGACAGTGATCAGAAACCCAGGGGGGAGC